TATTATTTTGCATGTATTTAGACAAACATAGATCCAAGGTTTATTAGGGTTGCATGCACACTTAGGAAGTGTTAGATTGCTCAAAACCCAACAGTTAGATCGGTTGGTAGAGATGAGATTGTTCTCCTTAGCTAGAAAGAAACATATTTGTGATGAGGGTGCTATATGGCGGCCGAAGGTGGAGGGTGGCAGCTGGGCCACCAGGTTGGAGTCTAGTGTGGTGGTTGAGCCAAGGGGAAAGGGTTGGGTAGCAGTTCCATGGAGGTGGAACTGTTCACTTTATAAGGGACAATTAGGTCAAATGGAATTAGGTCATGCCTTAGGCTAGCCCAATTATGCCCAACTAGCAAGGACCTGGGTAAGGCCACTCAGAGGCGTCGAGCAAGGGAGCATCATACAGGGATGGAATGAGAGTTCCAAACAGTAGTGGTAATGGAGCGCCAGGTAGGAGAGTGCCAGGCGAGGCTGGCAAGGGAGCGTCAAGCAAGGTTAGTGTTCCAGATCTGTCTAGATCAAGCTAATGGCCCTGATATCATCAAGTCCCCCCATTCTGATGATATTAGTACGCGGCCAATGATATTGGACTGGACTACATCATATAAATCGTGTGTCATCAAGTCCCCCTAATCCGATGTGATTGGGTTACTAACAATCAGATCGGACTTAACAAAGGACCAATGCATCAAATAATAAAAAGAACGAATAAACTTAGGCCACGAGAGCCATGGTGTTGCGTGATGTGCCAAGCATGGGTTGGCTTAATGATCTTTCCATGTCAGGAGTATGATGTGGTCGGTATGATGCAATGTAACTGTTGCAACGATCATGCAAACCAAGGCTGCTAATAATTTTTTTATGGAGCAGGGATGATATATGAATATACAACATGGATGTCACAACATTTCTATCATCTTGGTGGAATATCATCGATGATTATATTCATAGTCTGTTTTGCATGAGCATTAATAGCCATTCTAAAGGTATTTCTTGCCTAAGCTATACCTGGATGGATTTCCCCAATCTGATGTGGGTAGTGTAGGTATATATATCAAACTATGGTGCGTATGGTAAGGTTACTATAAGAATGCACAATGAGGTTATTTTCATGATAATAGACATCAAAATTGTTGCCAAGAGCTAAACAACATAGATGTTGAGGAATTATAAGTGGCAGGGTTGTTTTCATGGTAGCGTTCTTTTTGAAGAGTAACCTATCTATAGTAGGATGTAATGTAGAAAATAATTTATTGATTGTTCGAGCACAAGTAAACCATGACGAGCATGGTGTTAAGCATGGCATGAACTTATGATGCACGACTTATGGTGTGCAATGATGCACAACTTATGCTGCATGGCTTAGAAGAATAACTCAGGCTTAGCAGTCAATGATCATGGAGATTTAATGTGGGAGAGCATCGCATGTAACAGATTGGGCTTAGCAGCCAGCAATCATGGATACATCACCCGGGAAAGCATCGTGTGGAATAGATCGGGATTAGCTGCCAGCAATCGTGGATACATGACATGGGAGAGCATCGCGTGGGATAGATTGGGCTTAGTTGCCAGCAATCACAGATAGATCACACGGGAGATCATCAAGTGGAATCATATAGGCAAAGGTTGCAAGATTTTAAGCCTTATTGGCGAAGCATGTCGTTGTAATGAAGTCAGGCTGAGAAGCCAATCAAATCAAGGAAGGGGTGATTAACCTAACAAGCAGATCTTGCCGCTATAACGGAGTCAGGTTGAAAAGTTAAGCGACTCAAGGCAAGGGTGTTGAATCTTGTAGGTGGAGCTTGCCGCTATAAGGGAGTCGGGCTAAGAAGCCACGTAACTCAAGGAAAGGGTGTTGAACCTTACAGGCATAGCTTGCCGCTATAAGAGAGTTAGGATGAGAATCCAAGCAAATCAAGACAAGGTGTTGAACCTTGGAGGAGGAGCTTTATGCTATAAGGGAGTATGGTTGAGAAGGTAAGTGACTCAAGCCAAGGGTGTTGAACCTTGCATGCAAAGCTTGCCGCTATAACGGAAATGGGCTGAGAAGCCAAGCGACTCAAGCCAAGGGTGCTAAACCTTATAGGTGGAGCTTGCCAATAGAAGGGAGTCGGGATGAGAAGCCAAGCAATTCAAAGCAAGGGTGTTGAACCTTGCAGGCGGAGGTTTCCGTTATAAGGGAGTTGGGCTGAGAAGCCATGCGACTCAAGGAAAGGGTGTTGAACCTTGCAGGTATAGCTTGCCACTATAAGGAAGTCAGGCTGAGAAGCCAAGTGAATCAAGGAAAAGGTACTTAACTTTGCAGGTTTGGATGTAGCAGCCTACAGTCTATGTGTTTGGCCTAGGTGATCAGTTCGAGTTGAAGTGTAATGGCACCTGATGCTTTGCTGCATCATTAGATGTGGTGACAGTCAATGCCTCACTATCTTAGCCTATCCATAATGCAAATGGTTTGTTAGCAACATGATTTATGTAGCAATGGTAGTGTTGTGCACCAAGAGGCAGTCGAGATCATAATGATTCTGTTTGTTGAGGGTTATACGATGAAGCTACTTAGATTTGGATAGTGGAGTTGTTATCGATAGGTGCGTAGCCAGAATGCCGTCGAGAGTTGAGTAGTAATAGGGTTCGGGGAGCAAGATGCTAGCGATAGATGAGAAACATGACTACTGAGAGTTGGGAAATAAGACTACCAAGGTCTGGTCAGCACAACTGTTGGGATCCAAACAACGCAACAATTGAGGATTAGGGCATTAAGTTGCTCTTTCATTTTTAACACTGATATCTTCCCAGGAATGCACAATCATATATAAAATCCGCTTTGCTATTTGGTTCAGCTCTTTCCTCGGAATAACACTTCCGCATAGTGTTTTGCTAACCCTTATATTCTCCCCTTTTAGAAACAGTGAGGCGTAAGAACAAACAGATATATGATATTGGCTTGTGTTTGCACATTCAAGTCTGATTCGTTGGTACACGACATTGTAAAAAATAATAGTAAGTTATCTAATTCCATAATGCGTAATGATGGCAGTTAAAGCATTTAAGCATGCAGTTTTAGAAGTTTTTCACAACATGTGCCATTGTGTAGGTTTGTAAGGTAAACCACTTGTATCTTAAATAAAATACTTGTGTAGCATGCGATTGGTAGTTGTGAACTAATGATGCCAAAATGGTTTGATTACACTGAAAACTTTTTGCCAATTCAATTATCAAAAAGTGGCATCTTTGCATATGAAAATATGATGTTGTAGTAAAAAGATTCTCTACTACATAGTTGTAAGTCCCAAACTATGGATCCAAATCAGTAATCAATAATATAATAGCAATCAAATAGAGTGTTAGAAGGAATAGAAGACGAATCAAAGCAAGCATGCACACATTTATATCATATAAATGTCAAGTACACCCTTCACACATACATTGTTCATTCGTACCCACACCAACACACTGTCACACATACACTGACACAACCATTTATATATAACCCACACCAACACATATGAGTGCAGCCGCACACACATGTACGACCACACATGGCGAGTGCGTCCGCACACACGTGTGTGGCAGCGCACACACACACACATACAGTTCTATCAATCTACCATCATACCACTACACTATTACTTTATCAACCTACCAAGATCTATACAAATGAATGCCTAGTGCAAACCACAAAAGTATAGACTTTCAATCTCCCCCTTGGTTTGAGGCTAGCATAGACTTGGCCTTCATTTTGAGGGTTTTTCAAACAGCTTCAGATCTGACTTTCCCATGGATCCCATCCAAAGTCTCCCATTAATGATTGTGGTGACCATTCCAATATATTCTTTGGCAGCAGCCTCCATGACATCCTTTCGACATAACATGTGGTGACGAAACAGAATACGAATATCTCTTTCTCTGAATCTTAGAAGATCCTTAGCACTTATCAGCCTTAACACTTGTTCTCGATCCTTGAATTTTATGGCAGCAGTGGCAGTTTCATCATTGTACGCCCAGAATTCCATATTATCAAGGTATTCCTCATGAAAGTGTTGAGGGATAGGAATTTCCTTCTGCTGTTTCGTTGCTGGCCATAGGATAATCTTCATGGGCTCACCTGATTTAGGATCCAAAATTTCCTTATCTTTTCTGTATAAGGCTCTTGCGGTTTTCATTTTTGAGAAGTTTTCCTCGACCTGCCTGTCAAAAAATCTTTTGAAATTTATCGTGCTTGGATCTTCTGAAGGATTATGTAATGGGGCTCTTGAAAGTTCAGCAAGATCCACTTTAGTCCACGAGTTAAAATCATGAACACTTTTGTAATACTCAGGGACACCAGAGTTCCTCTTTACAACCTACATGTTTGACTCGGGATCAAAAGCCCACATTCTGATTCCAGATCTGTCTCCGAACTCATCACCAAAATTTCTCTTTTTGAGATCCATCACAGTCAACACATAATCTTTAGCTTTGCGATTCTCATTCGAGTTTTTCATAAATAGTAATCCTTCACTTTTGTTGGTAGTGACGGTTCTCTTCCCTTGTTTGATTGTGATGCGAGACCTGCTGTTTTCAAGTTCTATCTCAAACTGATTGACAATGGTAGTTGTTCTAGGAGGAGGTGGATCAATTGGAAAGTCACCAAGAGTATATTGGGTGGGAGCCACGGGGGGATCTTCAATTTCGTGCGGCTGTTGAAACAAAGCTTTAACCTTATCACCGAAGGCATCATACAGAATATTCTTCAAAGTGAAGTAAAAAGCTGTTATAGACCCAAGATTTGTCTGAAGATCCTTAATCTGTTTCGTCTTCATTTCACCTTTTTCTTTGAGTTCTTCTATATAAGAAGTTTGTTGTTCCAGTAGAATGTTCTTCTCTATAAGTTCTTACCTGAGAATACCAATTTCTTCACGAAGTATTGACATTGATGTCTTGTCATCACCTGAATGCTTTTCCCCGAAAGATATGCCTTTACCCCGGGAGAAGGAAGTTGGACTGTTTTGAGCAAGGTGCTTGGCCAATCAGATCAAGGCTTCATCTAGTGAGGGTTGTGTAGGAGAATACTCTGGAATAGAGGATGAACCACCTGCTTCAAATATTGTGCTCGAGCCTTCTTCTGACTGTAGTGGTGGAATAGAGACTGTAGTGGTGGTAGTAGTGACAGTAGTGGTGGTGTAAGTGGATAAGACTGGTGGTGCTTGGCTTACAGATGGCACTCCCAGTCTTGAATCTGATCGACTTATTTTCAAAGGAGACTAGGAGGTTTGTGGCTGTGATGATTCACTCAAAAGTGGAGCAAAAGTAGAGATAGTTGAATCAGAGGGAGGAATCTCTAAAATCACATCTCTTTGACCTGAAGAGACCTCCATAGGCTTGGAAGAGGAGAACAAAATTTTGAGAGCATTAACGTCTTCCCCAGTCTTGGTTATTGGTTGAACAACTTCATTGACCTTTTTAAAGCACCTGTTGTCAAACCCCGGAAGTGGACCAAATTCATCATCGTCAAGATTGAGTTCAATGCTCGAAGGGAGATCACCACTGATCCCAATAAAATCTATCTCTTTCAGAAAATCAACATCTTCATGAAGATCCCCATCGCCTTCTTCATGAACAAACTATGTTTCAACTTCCACATTGTGTAGACAATTATGTTCCGCTACCACTATTGTTATAGGAGAATCATGAACGTCTTCAATCTCTGGCTCTGAAGTTAAAATCACAACATCATCAGTCTCTGTAGGATTAGAGTGATTTCCTGAATCTGATTGATTACTATCTTCAGCAAAAATTCCAAATCTTATTAAAGGGAATTTCCCTTCAAAAAGAAACTTTCCACCCCTTTTCTGCTTCATCAATCCAAAAGCACTTGGACCGACAGACTTAAGATCCAGTGTCTCATTTCCTCTTTTGAGCTTAGAATGGATGACTTGTCTCTCTTGGTTCCTTCAACATTTAGAATCAATTCGTGCAAGATAAATTTTGAAAAATTAAACTCGATCCCTGAAGCCAAGGCTTTAATGGCTCTTGTATTGAACAAAGAGATTTCGTTTGGTCCTAATCTCCTTGCAAAAATACAACTAAAAAATACATGATCTAAATATTTCCAGCAAGGAGTAATTAGTTTCTTGATGGTAGGAGGAAATGATCCTTCACACCCCATGTGGTCCAAAACGTCTTGGGTTTGATACACGTCAATTTCCATAGAATACTCAGGCCTGTCATTGATTTGAAGTGATTCCCGAATAACACTTTATGAGATCAGAATCTTCTTTCCATGTATAGTTGCTTCACGATACTTTTCTTCCTTGTCATCTTTCTTGACGATTGCACTTCTCCAAAAGTCTTTGATCAAATTCTGATAAATCACCG